ATACTGGCCTTCTTGCTGTTTCTCAGACTCCCCAGGCACCTTTATCAGGCCCTTTGCATTTGCGGTTTCCCTTGCCTGGATTCTCTTCCCCTGGATATTTGTGTAGCTCACCTTTGTCTCCTTCAGGTCTTTACTCAAATATCAGGGTATCCCTGGCCACCCTGTTTAAATTCCACTCCCCCACCACCATACACAGTCTCCCTATCTTCCCTCCCTGCTTCATTTTTCCTCCTCAGCACTTAAAATCTAACATACCTCCCCTTTTTTTTTAATTGTTGCTTGTTGTTTCTCCCTCATGCTAGAATGGCAGTTCTGTGTGAGCAGGGCCTTTCCTGGCTTTATTTCCTGCCATATTTTCTACTCCTAGAGCAGTGTCTGGCATATATCGTTGTATTTAGTAAATGTTCAGTTGATGAATGAACTTTTTAAAAATATTTGGAGGAATGTATGTTTCTCCAAGTTGAAATTATCTCTCATTCATCTTAATATATAGAAACACATTTTCCTGTTTTGTGGATTTTGTAATAACCAATATAAATAATTGAGTATAATTATCTCCAATAGACTTAAAGAATTATCAATTAATATTACTTTTTTTTTAGAACTTGTCTTTTTTATTCACTGTAATGTTCAGGCTCATTTACTCATGCATTTATTCTTGAACAGTGAGTCATTTATGTCTTTAAAATAAAAAGCTATAGTTGACCTCACACCATTTTAAATGCAGTATTTTAAAGGGCTTACAATAAGTAAAGATGATACTCAATGAAGGTGAAACTATATTATTTAATGCTCCAAATTGGAAAGTTCGGACGTAATTTACTGGAAACAAAGAATTAAGGGTATCAAAAATGCAGCACTTCTAAATTTTAGGAAGGATTATTAATATTGCTAATTTTGAGTATTATAAGTCTTGCTAGTGTGTTTTACTATTATGTTCAAGCGTGTTTCATTCTCTCTTACTCTCTCTTCTTGCGTGTATCTTTGTATTTTTGATTGCGTGTGCACAGTTTCTTCCAGTAAGCTTTTCTGTTGCAGAAAACTCTTCCTTTGGTTCTGTTGTTCTTGGATTCTTTGCTCATGCCAGGCCCTTCCCAAAATTTGACCATAATATAAAACTGGTTTATACATTTTTATTATTATATCTAATTAAGTGGAGTATCAGATTCCATTTTCATTTTTGAGCATGAGTGAGTTTTTTATGTGGCCTTGTTTTTAACTTTTGTTCATTAACTTTTGATTTCTTAGTTTTTTTTTTTTGTTTTTAACTTCTATTGACGCAGTAACTTTTGGTCAAGTACAATTTTTAATATGTAGTAGCTGGGCCTTGGAGAATTCCAGCTTTACAGTTTCATCCACATGATCTTGGGAATGTTAGGTAGCCGTTGATATTTTCTTCATCTATTTATAGAGCTAATTTCTGTCACTGAGCTTTATTATTCGATTTAAATAATAGAGACAAGAAGCAAGCATTGGATTTTGAAGCTGTATCCCTGTTAGATTATGCCAATTGAAATTTGCAGTCCTTCTCACCTTCTCACTATATGTTTTCTTTCTCTGTTCCTTTTGACATCTTTTCCTGCCTTTCCTTTCTTTTTTTCTTTTTTTTCCTTTTGGCATAAGTCTCACAGAAGATGAACAGGGTAAAAAGTTTCATGAGATAGGATAACCCTTCTCTCTCAGCCAGTCAGGGCTTTAACTCTTTCCTGTCCCCTCCTTTGTCAGTCCAGGAGTATTTGGGAAGGTCCATGGGGTAGAGTACAGTAAGAGGTAGAGGCCTACTTAATTCCACTTTGAGTTCACAAACAGAAACCCAGTCCTGCCTGGAACAAGAAGAACTTCTTCAGTGTTAATCTGGTGTTAATGAATTTGTTAAATCAATCTCTGCTAACACAGAGAAGAGAATACTCGTTATATGTAAGAGATTTTAGTGTTTAATCTATACATGACTTCAAGGGCGTGAGGGGAAAGATGCTCTTTCAGCCTGGTTGGGGAATACCTGGCCGGCTAGGCCAAATACCCTCACTGAGCATGTTTAAGAAAGGAGATCTGGCAGGAGTAAGGGTCATTTTCAGTTCAGTTTTTAAAGGTGCAGAGGGAGTTTCTTTACTGTTGTTAAGACATTTCACAATTCAAATTTGATAAGGAACTAAGGAAATGTCTTAAAGATACTATTTTAATGGATGATTTAATTAAATTTAATTTATTTGCAGTAGAAACTATTCTAGAAACCTTTTAAAAAGCACTTTTAGAAATACATGAAATATAAGAAAATCTCCTAAATTATAAAAGGGTGCAAAAGAAGAATGAAAATCATAAGTGGGACCATTAAAAATGAAGACCGGACAAAAATTTGCCATTGAGACTGGACAAAACCTATAATGATGACCTACATACTTGCCTATGGTTAGACTAAATTCGGCTTTAAGCCTTCTAGTGGTCAATAAAAAAGAAAGCTAATTTTTAAATGTACTGTACAATGAGTAAAAAACAAACCTATTGCTCAGAAGAAGCAAAACTGTTCTTGTTACAAAAACCTGAAAGGACTTTCTCCAAGGAGTCCACATGAAAATGAGCCTGTGTGATCTAACAAATAACACTCTCAACAGTAACTTAGAGGAAGAGCAAGGGTGACTGTTACAGATCTATGTCCTATGACAAGTGTCAATGCAGACTGATGGTATCACGCTGAGCACCGGTTGGTTGGTAAAGGAATAATTCTGTGGAGTGGGTCAGGCCCAATATGTTGTAAGTTGCAGAACCTCCTTCTCTGCTGGTCTGACTTGATTTCAACACATATTTTATTAAATCTAGAAAATGGATTATGTGTTCCTGAATCAGTTGTTCTTAAATGTCTTTTTTTTTTTTTCCTCAGATGAATTTTGTTAAATATTTGGTGGCACTGATAGCCATGTTCCAGTAGTAAAGCTCTTTCTTTACTCCAAGTGCATACAACACTTTGATAGAGTGTGGAGTTTGAGGTTGGATTGACTTTTGCAATCTGGAAAGCTAAATAAGGATACTGGCCTCAAGGGGCCATCCAGCCTATGGAGGAGCTGAAGATGTGCCCTAATAATAATAATAAAAAATTCAGCCTAACAAATCCTCTGGAATATGCCTTAGTGTCCAAACAAATGGTAGCAAAGTTCTACCATCCCTATGTTGTGGTCACAGTAAATTTAACCTAGCAGATTTTTCAAGCTTATATAACAGATACCCACTTGGTAGAAAAGCTTCACACGTAAAACTTTGTCTAGCTTTGAGCACTGTGACTCCTTGGTTTATCTTTGAAGGTAAACTACTTGCCAAATACATACTGAGAAAATGAGAGGAAGGAACTTGTTGAGTAGGACTCTTATTCATAATCCAGTTAAAAATTGAGGGACAACCTACCCAAAGTAACATTTGGTTACAGACTAAATGATCTATAGCCCTTTTTTCCTGTCAGGAATTAGTTAACAAAGATGTTTCTTGTTAGTGATAACAAAACTTATGGCGCCCTAAAGCTTAAAAAATAATAATAAACTACTTGTCTCAAATGCTAAGAGAACTGCATGCTCTAGCTGATAAGAGTTGGCATCATGTTATTAATAAAAAACAAAAAAATAAGTTAAAAAATGAGGCTAGAAAATACCCTCTTATACCTCACAGAACACATTTTTATCATTCATCAAGAGCCTTTTTACTTTTTGACTCTTGCAGAATTAGGTGCTGGTTCTGAGTAAACATCAATGTATTTGCAAAGAATTTTCCAATGGGAAATAGGCGAAAAAGTGCTCCGATTTTGTGATGCTCATCACTGTGACTTTTCCTGTTAATAATCTGCCTAGAAGTCAGGCATCCGTGCTTACTGACAATTACCCTGTGGTCATTCAGTGATGATAATTGATGGTAATGAGATGAAAAGCAGAATATAAGTTGGCCACACTAGTGTGCTAGAAATCAGGAAATTCAGCTTCTGGCCTTCACTCAGTCAGTGATTTTATGATATTTGTCATATCTTTTGAACACTTTGTATCTCAGCTTGTCCATCGGTTAAACTGAGTTTGAAATAACTGCCCTGGTCTATCTCACAGGAATGTTGCCTGGACAAATTGGATAAGTGTAAAAGTGCCTTGGAGGTAAAGCCACTCTGTGTATAGAGATTAGTGTGATGGAGCTACTGAAAAGTATGTTGCAGAGGCTAGAATGGTTCATTTCTGCAGGCTTCATGACTAGATAAGGCTTCATAATGGATTCCTGTCAAGCAAACCAAACCCATCTTATCAGTTCATGACTGTATAGTATTTAATGGAAAAAAATCTCTTTACAAACATTTGTTACCTTGATACAAATGTGCATTAAAAATCAGTCCTGTTTTAATTAAATAAAACCTTCCTAAGTAGCTTCAAAGCAGTCTCTAATATCTAGTTGACAGTTTCCATAGTCTATTTGGAGGGGTCATAAACATTTGATATGCTTAATAAAGTTGAGAAATAAGTAATGAAACAATGTGTGGGGAACAGAAATGGATTGCAGTGTTTCCTCAGGTAATAATTGCTATGAGTTTTAAGACTCTGACATTACCAAATTGAGATTTCTCTTTTGTTTATTTTATAGAAATATCAAATTGTCATCTCTGTCTAAGTCATATGTTTTTTCCTGGTTACTTCATTTTCTGTTGGAGTTAACATCCTCATTCTCAATCATAATCATGATACAGACAGAACCACTTGTTGCAGCTCAAAAAACATAACCAAATCTCTTGAAGATGGAAAAAAGTGGGGGAAATGGCCTTCCTCAAAAGAATCCCTTAAGTGCTTTTTACTCCTCCCTCTTTTTCTCATCACATAAATGCTCAGAGTTCCTATGTAAATTTTACGGCACCCATGTTTTCAGCCCTTGAGAAGGATAATTGAGCAAGTATTTAATTGTTTGGATGTTGCATAAAAGAGGTTCTGTCCAAGCTAACTTAAGAAACTTTTATTCCCCAGCCAACTTGATCTCTTTTCTTCTGGCAGGGGACCATTCCTAGTGGCACTAGGGAAATCTTGGCATCCAGAAGAATTTAACTGTGCTCACTGCAAAAATACAATGGCCTACATTGGATTTGTAGAGGAGAAGGGAGCCCTGTACTGTGAGCTGTGCTATGAGAAATTCTTTGCTCCTGAATGTGGGCGATGCCAAAGGAAGATCCTCGGAGTAAGTATCAGAAACCTCTTTATTCTGGGTGAGCTTTAAAGCACAATATGAAACCCTTCCATCAGTTTTCCTTTTTATTTTCTTCTTGCTTGATCCCCTCTCTGTTTTCATCACTGTTTATTATTGTAAAGCAAAACTAAATAGACCTCTGTAGAAGTATATCAGACTCATGGGGTTAAGTTGTCTTTGGTTTTGTCTTACTGAGTGCTTCCTTGTCTGGTGAAAGTCTAGCCACTGTGGGGAAAAAATAATTTACTGTGGGTATGCTACCTCAACAGGACCCTGTTTGCTCAGGAATGAGGAGGTCACACAGGACCACACACATCAGAGTTCTCAGAACTGACACCTTCACTGTTTTAAATTGAATTCCACAGCTTTTATAAGAGCAGCATTTCCCCATTTGTCAGGGTTCAAGCACAGGGCACAGATCTCATGAAATATATAAAACATGAGGCTTATAAATTATATATTTTTCGTATAATGTTTAAAAATATAACTTATTTTATGAGCATATGCATGTGATAGAAAAATAATCTAAGCACCTTTTTTTTTTCTTTTCAAAAAGGGAGTAATTTAGGAGTCAGATATATAATAAATAATGATGAATGAATGAATGAATTTCCTGCTCTGGAATATCCAGTTTGCAGTTTACAAAGAAAGGGTCAGTCATTTCTTATGGGTGACCAGGAGTTGGAATTTTATTTTAGAAGCATCCAGTGTGCCTGGTCTCATACGAAACTCATACAGCTAATACAAAAGATGGAAATGGCATTGCCGAATTCTAATATTCTCTCTATAAAAATATAATAATGAAACTTTAATTCATATCAATTGAGAGAAAAGTTAGTATGAACTATTGAGTACTTTGAATTTCAGATTACATCTTTAAATGGTTCTAAAATTTTGAGGACACTTAAATTGTAACTATACCACATGAAATATTTCTATATTATTAATTTGTACAATATGTTGGGAACAAAAGAGTAGAATGATACAGGCTGTAACTTCCAAAATGACAATAAGACTCTTTTAGTATATAAATGTATTCTATAAATTCTAGAATAATTAGTAACACAAAGGTAACAGTCTTAGAACTAAATGAGGTTCTAGGAAATGGAAATCGTATACTCATTGCCTTAGAGATGGGCCGGAACTTCACTACAGAGACAGAGTCTATGGATTGTATTTTAGTTGTTTGATTTCCTATTAAAGAAGCAATAGTAATCTGTCTTAAGGATAGAAAGGGAAGTAAATGCCAAAAGCCTTGAGAACTAGTTGGGTTCAATGTACATTTGTTGTACATGTTCATAGTAATCTTTTTGGATCTAAACAGCTGCCATTCCCAGTATCCTTCAGTAGTGAACTGTGGTGTTTTCTAAGGCTAATAATTTACTCTGTATCATTTTATTTTATTTTAACAATTTTTATTATTAAAAACATTTCACTCTACCGCAGTTAGAAAATACCAAAAAATGTAAAGAAGAAAATTAAAGTAACCTATATATTTTACCAATCCCAGATAATTCCTGTTAACCTAAGGATGTATTTTCTTCCAGTTTGCTCTTTATAAGTAATTCATTTACAAAATTGTAACCATACTTTATGTGTAGCATCCTCTTTTTTGTGATCAATATTATGGAAAGAGTAAATTCCCATTTTATTAACTGTTCTTCAAAAATAATGTTTAATGGCTCCATCTTTCTCAATCTAAAGAAATGATTCCTTGCAAAACCAGCTTCTCAAGACTTCTTTTACTAATTAAAATCTGGCCCAAGTCTTTGATATTGCTATTTTTAACCATAGAGCCATTGTTGATTAGAATCCATACTTTATGGTTCAAACTTTAGACACTTATTTGAGTGTGTGCTTAGCGTAGTCACAGCTGATTTCCAGAATCCTAAACATGTGTAAAACTGATTGGATTACACTGATTATGTTATTGCTTCCATAATGCACCAAAGCACAGGTTTGTTTTAATTTTCAAATGTTTTGCCCTTCCTCCATGACATTTTCTTTTTTTTCCCTCCATGACATTTTCAAGATAATACTATGAAACCTTTGTAAGTTAATGTTCCCTGACACCCTTTTGAGAGAAAGCAGAATGTTTCATAGGAAGCACTTATGAAATGCTTACTTTATTTACCACATATATAATGTTTAAAAAACACAATAATCATTCTTTAAATAAGTTTATTGATGTGCATTTATGGGAAACACACATATTATATAGTGTATCAGTTTAGACAATTTGTGAGTCTGTCCTTAAGTATCATGTTACTTAGAGGAAAAGCTCACGGTAAAGACAAAGCATGTGTCTACCTTGGGTCAGTTTAAATAAGGCTGTGTTGGTACAACTAGTAAAATAAGCATTTGTATATTTTTCATCTTTACATCCAATTACCTTTCTGTAACAGGAAGTCATCAATGCTCTGAAACAAACTTGGCACGTTTCCTGTTTTGTGTGTGTGGCCTGTGGAAAACCCATTCGTAATAATGTTTTTCATTTGGAGGATGGTGAACCCTACTGTGAGACTGGTAAGATCCTAAAGCCGTTAGTTTCTTTAGTTTTGAATAAAGATAAAACATTAACCCTTATATTACTATAAAGTTGAAAGGAAATATTGGGCAAAGTAGATTTCCTAACTATTTTAGGGGCATTTAAAGCTATTCTAAATATATAGCAAAAAACTATGGAAAATTTTTATGTGACTTTGCCAAAACAGATAGTCCCAACTTCATCAAGAGAAATGAGCATAAAAGCATTACCTAGTAGGAAAATATTTTACTTGAATCCCTAATAGTTTATGAATTCTACCAAATTGTGGAGCTTAAAGCCACCTCTTACACTCTAACAGCGAATTTTGCGTGGTTTTAAACATGAGAAATGATCAACTTTTGAATGTGATATTGATTTGCTCTTTAAGGCAACTGTCTTGACAATAAATTGGAAGTCTTTTATTACTCTTACTTGAATGGGAGGGTAATCTTGGCTTGTGTTGTTCCCTTAGTAAAATTATTTTTAATAAATTGAGCTCTAAGGACCAATCTACTACACTTGTCCTATTACCTGAGCTCTGAACCCTTCTTTTCTTTCCCAGAGGCTGTAAGTGAACTTTCATAACACTCATTTGTTATTATTACTCTTACTTAGGTATTAGTACCACACATGTTTCAAAAAATAAAATATTTTCCCTTTATCATGCTTACATTCACTACCACTGCATTTCCACTGTGGAGTTTTATTGTTGATCTACCTTGATACTCTTCAAAGTGTAGTGCTGGAGGAATGGAATACTGTACACTAGTTAAGTTAAAGAGCAGTCAACTTCTAATTTGAGGCTAGTCAGCATCACTCGGACCCTTTTTGCTCACTCAATTCCTTTTAGCTCCTAGGCAGGACCAATCTAGATCTATGCCAAATGATCCACCAGGAAGCTCTCTGGAAATTCTAGTGAACTATCCCATCTATGGTCTATTTTGGGACAGGATGGCTACAAGCTGCCTACCCTGATTCAATCAGAGTATTTCACATTTTGTAATTTCACCTAATTCTTCTGAAGAAAGAGCTTGTTTGTTTTAAAACTGGCGGATAGTCCCTATCTAGCCAAATACACACAAAACTATTTAGCCTTAATATTGTATTTAATGTAGTCTAAGAAGTCAGATTTTTTTTTTCCCCACACTGCAATAGTTAATTTTATTTGTTCAAGGGCTCATATTGCAAGCATTAAACCAAGCATGGGCTTTGATTTTGTGAGCCCAGATTCACATATTTAGGAAGATAAAAGCAAACTGTGATCCATGTATACGGATGAAAAACTAAAGGCTCACAGTTAATCACATCATAGTTTTAAATTTCTACAGCCTAGAAGCCAGAAGTCACAGATCTTTTAGGTCTTTCTGGATGTCCCACAAGGTATCTGCACTTTTCTTGAGCTGGGCAACCTCATCATCCTTCAGCTTCTGGTTGATCACACTGGTTAAGCCCTGAGCGTTCAGGATACATGGAAGGCTCAGGAAGACTTCGTTCTCAATGCCATACATCCCCTTCACCATTGTTGACACCGGATGAATCCTGGATAGATTTTTCAACATGGATTCAATGAGATCAGCCACACTTAATCCAATAGCCCAGTTGGTATATCCTTTTAGCTTGATGACTTCGTAGGCACTTTCCACAACCATCCTATGAACTTCCTTCCAATTTTCACTGTCGTTGTCTGTTCCCATTTCTGGATTCAGTTCCTGAAGAGAAACGCCTGCTACATTCACTCCACTCCACACAGCCACACTTGAATCGCCATGTTCTCCCAAAATCCATCCATGGCAGCTGCTGGGATGAATGCCAAGTTTTTCAGCCATAAGATAGCGAAATCTAGCAGAATCCAGAACACCCACTTCCAATTACATGGTGCTTGGGTAGTCCACTTAGTTTCCAGGTAACATATGTGAGAATATCCACTGGGTTGGAAACCACAATTATGATACAATCAGGACTGTACTTGACTATCTGAGGAATAATGAATTTGAAGACATTAACATTCCTCTGCACCAGATTGAGCCAGCTCTCTCCTTCCTGCTGGCGGACTCCTGCAGTCACCACCACAATCTTAGAATTGGCAGTCACAGAGTAATCTTTATCTGCCACAATTTTAGGTGTCTGAAGAAATAAGCTCCCATGTTGCAGATCCATCATTTCTCCTTTGAGTTTATCTTCTAAAACATCCACAAGGGCAAGTTCATCAGCCAGAGACTTTCCCAGAATGCTGATGGCACATGCCATACCAACTTGTCCAACACCCACTACAGTGATCTTATTGTTTGGGATGGTTGCCTCTTCTTCTGCAACTGGTGCAATCAGTTTTTCCTTAAGAGTTGCCATTGTGCCCAGAGAGAACCCGCGGGGAGAGTCGCACGAAGAAGACAATGTTAGCTGCGTGTCAAGAAGTCAGATTTTTTAAAACCCAAAAATTGCTTACAGAAAGGGAAAAATGTTGAAGATTTATTTAAATGTCATTTCTAATCAACTTGATCTATTTTTGTTGTATTTGTTTAACCTCCCACATTTGTTATTACCCAGACTTTCCCACCTCAGTAAATGCCCCACTCTCCACTATCCCAAAACCTAAGATTCTCCTCTTTACCTTGCTCTCGCCATATCCAGTCTAATTAGTAAATTCTAGCAGTTCTACCCCCAGTGTATATAAATTCATTCATTTCTCTCCACCCCAATAGTCAGAACTAAATCCAACTCACTCTCTTTGCCTGGACACTCTAATCACCAACTGAAATGATATAGCTTCTTTCCCCCCGACCCTCAAATAGCAGCTATGATAATATTTTGTTTCAATGTGAATTAGATTATGCTTGATACCTCTTGGCTTCCACTTGAGTAAACACTATACTCTTTATTAGGCCAACCTTATCTTCTACCACCTTACTTTCTGTCCCTGAATTCTAGGCATACCTAGCCCCTTTGCTTTTCTGAACATGCTAAGATTCTTCCTGCCTCAGGGCTTTTGTATTTGCTGTTTCTTCTAACTGATCTGTTCTTCCTCAGCTTTTCTGTGGTGATTTTTCCTTTTTTTGTCAAGTCTCGGCACAGCTATTACCTCCTTAGAGAAGCCTTTCCTAACCCACCTAGTTAATGGAGTGTTACATACTTCCCCCAACTATTCTGTATCACATGACTGTTTTCTTCGTGGTTCTTGTCACAGTCTGAAATTATTTATTATCACTTATTTTCAAAATATAATAAGTGACGACATCCTACTCCCAATGAGATTGTAAGCACCATGAAGAGAGCAGCCACATCTGTCTTCACCACTCTACCCGCTGTCAGTGCCGGGCACATAGTAGGACTCTGTGAACATGTGCTGAGCAGATGGTGCTATGGAATATTGAAAATTGTTAAGAGAGGTAAATTAAGTTGGAAATGAAAGTCTACTTTCTACTCCAGCCCAAGTTGGAGTAAACACAAGTAGTGAGAGTAGCTGCATAAAAGAAAATTGCCAGTAAGTTCTAATTTAGTAATAATAAAGAAACATCTCATCAATACTGCTTTCTTCAGAAGGAAATCCTATTAGTATCTTATAACTGTAATCTCTGTCAAGTAAATGGTGTTCTCTGGCTAAGGATTTTCAGCATGAAGTCATAAAATTGAAAGGAAATTGCAGCATAAGAATAGTGGTTAAAACTGTTATGATACAGTCCAGCTAGAAACTGTCGTGGCACTTATTTATGGAAGTTTTTTTTCTTCCCTACCGAGTCAGATATTCTATGAAATGTGCTGATATCAGATATTCCTTCTTGATTTATGTTCTTTAGTCTTATTGTTGCTGGTATTTGGAAGCTCTCTTGTCTTTTGTTAAAACAGTCATGTCTATTGATAACTTATCAGGGAACAGAGTTGTTCTTCATAGGTATTTGGACATTTAGGTAGCTGGAGATAAGTGAGAAGTATTATGTGGAAAAATGGAGTAAAGGACGTTAAGTTATGTAAATAACATTTACCCCAAAGGTAACCTGAAACATGTTACATATTGTCAAGCCAAACATGTCTTCTGAACATTTTTCAGTTACTAGTAACTTTATCTTCATCTTCTCATTTAATTCCAATTTTGTTGCTGCTTTCTAGGAACTATTATTCTAAAGCTTTGTCATATTTAAATTATGTCTCCCCACCCCCACCCTGCCCCAATACAGATTATTATGCCCTTTTTGGTACCATATGCCATGGATGTGAGTTTCCCATAGAAGCTGGCGACATGTTCCTGGAGGCCCTGGGCTATACCTGGCATGACACTTGCTTTGTATGCTCAGTAAGTAAACTCTTTATTTCCAAATTTGAGGAGCACAGTATGGCCACTTTTAGCCTAAGCACTAAATGGAAATAACAGTTCTTGTATCTTTGTTTTTTTTTTTTTTTAAAGATTTTATTTATTTGAGAGAGAGAGAATGAGAGATAGCACGAGAGGGAAGAGGGTCAGAGGAAGAAGCAGACTCCCTGCTGAGCAAGGAGCCTGATGTGGGACTCGATCCCGGGACTCCAGGATCATGACCTGAGCCGAAGGCAGTCACTTAGTTTTGAAAGTTGTTCATTTAAAGTTCTGACATTTTTTGAATTATTTGGCAGAGAATGAGATGCTTTAGAGAAAATCTTATTTTTAATAAGTTTGTGTTTATAAGGAGAAACTACATATTTCTTAAAACAGTAAAAGTCCTTTACATTTTTTTAAAATTCTGTTTTATTGGGGTGTTTTTAGTAATTTTTGGAAACATGGGTACCTGAAATAGAAACAAACAATTCTAATCAGAGGAGGAGACAAACCATGAGAGACTATGGACTCTGAGAAACTGAGGGTTCTAGAGGGGAGGGGGGTGGGAGGATGGGTTAGCCTGGTGATAGGTGTTAAAGAGGGCACGTTCTGCATGGAGCACTGGGTGTTATACACAAACAATGAATCATGGAACACTTCATCAAAAACTAATGATGTAATGTATGGTGATTAGCATAACAATAAAAAAATTCTGATAAAAAAAGAAACAAACAATTCTAAAAATATTGTTGAATTAAGAGTGGAAGCAAACTCTGTGTTGATTTGCTTCCTTCCTTAGCAATAGTCCATGAATATTTTTTCTTTTTAAGACTATAATAGAATGTAGTGATGTATTTACCTATTTTGTTTGATATCTTAATATTTTTGGATTTATTTTTAATGATGAGGATAACTCATCATAGAGATTCACATTTACCCTAATACTTTTATTTTTAATGATTTTATTTATTTATTTGAGAGAGAGGAAGAAAGAGCGAGAGAACATGCATGAGTAGAGGAGAGGGGCAGAGGGAGAAGCAGACTTCCTGCTGAGCAGAGAGCCCAGTACAGGGCTTAATCGCAAGACTCTGAGATCATGACCTGAGCTGAAGGCAGACACTTAACTGAATGAGCCACCCAGGTGCCCCCTTAAGACTTTTTTTAAATTTAGAAAGTATATATCCAATAAAGACACTCTGTTCAGATGTTTGATTTTTTTATTAGATTTAATATATCTAATAGTTTTCAATACCCACCGTATGAAGGGAAAAAAGTAATGTTAATTGAAGTCAAATGGTTACTCCAGACATTACCTGGTTGACTATTAAATTCATCTTGTTTACCTCTTCCATTTCTTATACTTCATGAGATCTATAAAATGCAACAACTTTTAGCAGATTTGCCTTCTCCTGTTCTCTGGAAGAACTGTTTTATTATACTATTATACTTCAGAAAGGCAATAGGAAAGACAAGAAATAAATGCGGATAGTAAGTAGACCGTGTAATCATCCGGTAGCCAGATGTTGACCAGGGTTTTTACTATAAGGAACAAAGAAAGGAATTAAAAAGAATCCTTAGGTATTCTGTGCTGATGTATTTGGGAGCTTGGGAATATTGGGCAAAGCAATAATATTGTGTCTTCATTTTGAGTGCTTTGGTTCCCTACCACAGGAGGCAAATGTAGAGCATTGATGAGCATTTGAGAAGAGAAATTACATTTAATGTGACCTCTTTGTTTTCTTATTAGGGCCTAGTAAAGAAAAATAATGATCAGTGATTTAAATAAATTAGAATACATTTGAGGAAAAAGTCATTCTTCATTGCTTTTGAGAAATTACATGAAATATCATAGTAATCATTACATGTCAGAGTGTCTAATACAACCAACGAAAGTGCTTTGTCTTTTTTTATTCTCTCAAAGTTTTATTTATTTATTTTAATTTTATTATGTTAGTCACCATACAGTACATCATTAGTTTTTGATGTAGCGTTCCATGATTCGTTGTTTGCGTATAACACCCAGTGCTTGATGCAGTACATGCCCTCAATGCCCATCACCAGGCTAACCCATCCCCCCACCCCCCTCCCCTCTAAAACCCTCAGTTTGTTTCTCAGAGTCCACAGTCTCTCATGGTTCATCTCCCCCTCCGATTCCCCCTCTTCATTTTTCCCTTCCTTCTCCTAATGTCCTCCATGCTATTCCTTATGTTCCACAAATAAGTCAAGCAGAGAAAGTGCTTTGTCTTATCCACCAAGGGGAAAAGTCATTTTCCCCTTTTAGGCATATTTGATAAAATAATGATATTCTTTTAAATAATGCTTCTTTTTCAGGTATGTTGTGAAAGTTTGGAAGGTCAGACCTTTTTCTCCAAGAAGGACAAGCCACTTTGCAAGAAACATGCTCATTCTGTGAATTTTTGAAAGTCAACAGTTCAGGCAGGGGAGGAGAAGAAATTCGAAGACAAAAGAGAATTGGAATTACCAATTAATTTTTAGATTTAATATTTATGGGAATTTTGAAAAATAATAGTGGCCCTGAAGGGATAAATTCCAGCTTTAAAAATCAAGTCTATGAGGAAATATTTGGCTTCATAAAGTAAAGAGACAGTTTGGCATTTATGATTACTTTTTTCCTGTGTTTTCTGCCCATAAAATAATTTTTATAAAAACCAATTTCCTGGTTGACTATTAAATTCATCATAGAATAAATTAGTGAAGAATTAAATTTTAGAATAAAAACCTCTAACATCTATGCTGAATTAATTATACTTTCTTTCCTTGTTAGGTAGTTCTGAGTAAATCTGTAAAAGGCAATGAAAATTGCCTTACACTCTATCAATAAGTAAAATGTATTTTTAAAAAAATAGTGCTTGTCTTTAAAAGAGGAAATAGGAGTTAAACAGAATTTTTTATCAGTAGTAGGTGTCAGTTTTTAAAAACTGTATGTACTTTTTTTGTCTTACTGATCAATCCAGTAGGAAAGACTAAGATTTTCCATCAGAATGTGCCATGCCAATAAGAGATGTTACATATTTCTCTCATCCACCCCCACAAAAGCTACCACATTGCTTATAAATTTCAGATTTTTACCTTTTATTAAAATATGGCCATTTCTATTCATTGTGTATGTTTTATCACCTATATTAGTCAAACTCCCATTTTTTCCCCCTTCCCTCATGCTGAGGTCAAGAGAGTAAGTAGAAAAGAGTGAGGTTAGGAATTATGGGAAATCAGAGGAGGACTGTATTCAAAAATTTTTAAAATTCTTCCCTTTTCAGACAGTGAATCCATTAGATCAGTTTCAGATTTGTACTACTGACTGATAAAGGTTTGAGAACTCTCTTTGCAGAATAATTTTTTCTTTAGTTCTACATTAGAAAAGTAAAAGATTGGCTTGGGGATGTGATAAAAATCTAAGGGTTTTTTTTTTTCTTTTAGTAGTTCTCTCTGAGTAATAAATAAACCATTTCCAAATGTGATCATGAAGTTTGGAAAGCTTTTATTCCCAGAGGTTGGTAGTATAGGAGGGGAACGTGATCAGTTACTCAGACTGGCTCATTATTTGTTTTCTTTATTTGGGGAAACAATTATATAGATAACCCATGAAGACAGAGCAACAATTGTGAAATTGTGACTCCTAATGATATTTGCCCAGTGAGAAAACAGATTATGACATTTGATAGTTTTTCCTTTGTTTCCAGAATGGATGAAAGCCCATGATCCCACTAAGTTAAAAATATCAATGTGTCTGGGGCAAGGTGCTTTCAAAGTTGAGACAGAACCCCAAGTCCTCCCTGCCCCGTAACTCATGAACGACTTCATTTCCATTGTGCGCATGTTTGTTGTAGAGGGAGGTTTTAGGCTCTAATATTTGTTTAACCTCCCTAAGAACTTTTCAAGGCATCTGTACTGAAAGCTGTTAATTTATGGTCTAGCAGATTTATATTATATGCAGATAATAACTAACTGGGAATCAAAGCATGAGAAGGGTCACGTGAAGTGGCTTCACCAGTAGCAACCCTGAACTACCTCCTCACCCTGCATCTGTAGGGAGGCAGGAAGTTTTACTTTTGAAATAAAGTCCTGGAACTGAATTGTGCCCTCTTTCTCATTGCTGCTGAAACCACCCATAGAGTTCATGTGGGTTGTCATATAGCTTCATGTCAGTCTCTTGCTTTACATGATACAAAATAAATTGGTGATTTTGTTTGGATATAGTAGAGATGATTTTTTTTTTTTTTGGTTGTTTAGTTTTGCCTTTATAGAATCTATGCCAAGATAGTATTTGAAAAGTCAGTGACATTTGGGTATTTCCTTTCCAGAATTTTATTTGACCTGGATTTCTTATTAAGTTATATTACATTAAGGATATCATTTTTATTAGACTCTTCTTTGTGCACATTATTTCATGGAGCATAATGTTGCATTCCTCTAAATTTTATCCCTAAAAAGAAAACATTGCTTCCTAATTTATCATTTTGTCTTTGTGCTTTGTCCTTCTCCTTTGTGGCAAAGCTTTCTATCTGTTCTAAAACAATTAATTCTGTGAAATAAGTATTGACTATAACCCAGAAGAATCTCTGTATTTCCCAGTGGGGAATGAATGCCGTATTTAATACCCCAGCGTTAATCTTTTAATAACTGGCAGAGCACTTTATTCTTCTGGTGAGTTCCCTGAATATTTATTTTTCTGATTATAAATATTCTATGTCAGTAGCATTTTTTTTTAATTATTACCTCTTTACTGTAGAGCATTTACTTTTAGTCTTTCTTGATGTATATTTTGGAATGCTGTACTTAGTATAATACAGATTAAAATTATAGTATCTAACTCTTAAACATCCTTTACTTGTATTTCCCTGATTCAAAGTATTAGTGCTAGATTCCAATTTATAACATTTTTCTAGACTTACAAGGGCTGAATGTTGCCCGCTAGAGTGGTAGCCTAGACAGGATCCCCACTGCTTATGCTTATCATAGCATACATATTTCTTGTTGATTCAGGTTACATTTAGAGTCTAAAACTAAAGCCTAGTCATTTGGTCACAGTATGAGGACAAACAGAAATAAGAGTTTAAATCTTCACAATATTAGTGTAGCCTATGGTTAAAATTATCTAGAACAAAAATGTTTCCATGGTGCCATTTTCAAGGGGTAGTATATCAGGACCACTTTCATAGAAAATAAGTCCTTCCTCTCCCTTGTTCAAGTAGGAATCTAGTGTTATATTCACAGTTTTGTGAGGTTTGGAGCTTTTTTAATCATCTCTGTTGAAAGGAGAGGCTTTTCAGACATAAGGGAAAGGAAAACAGTGAATAATTTGACACAAATCTAGTGCGGCTTCAGTTTGTCATCCTTCTCCTCCAAATGTTTTAAGATATGGGGTTTGGATTCTCAAAGTATCACTTGCCTTATCTGTTAATCTCTATTTTCTGTTTCTTTACATTTTTACATTTGTATACATTTGTACTATTTTGCTTTTGGATACATTTTCTAATTAAAAACCACGTGAGAAATATAATCAGTGTAGTTATACCTTAATGTGCACATAATAAATAAATGGCTGCAGTGATATAAACAAGCTCTCCTGGTTTTTCTTTTTTGGGTGGCAAGTGGTTTTCATTGGAGTCATCATGGGAATAAAATAGTGTTCACAGGACAGGAAAAGGAGTAACGATTCTCAGGAGAATCCCTCTTTTATGATATTCACCTATCAAAATGTCCCAGAAACAAAACATTTGAAAAGATTGTCACATTTGTTCTACCTTAATCCATTTTTATGCTCTGCATGTAGCATGTACACAATACGTGTTTGTAAATTAATACATAAATAAGCCCCATTGTTTTAGAAAATATTTATTGCTGAAAGTGTTTATTGAAATAATCTGTCATACCAAGCACTGTATTGTATCATATATCATATTGAAACAACATAAGTCATCAGCTACATTTTCATGCTTTAATCAACCATTACTTCATGGTTAACTCATCCCGATCTCATTAGTTAACGTTTCTATAACCAGGTAGGCTCATCTATTCCTCATTTGTTTATTGGTTTGAGTAAGATTTTTTTTCCATCTGTATAAAGTTAAGAGGAATGTTTCTGTTGCAGGCTGTATATTGGAAATAAAAGACAAATTCAAGTCTATTTGCTCACAGTATATTAAACTCCAGAAGCCAAACTTATAAGGGCATCAAGACTGCATTTGACATTTTAATAGCTGCTGTTTGGTTTCTATCAATCACGTCATTGCACATTAAAATGCACCAACAAAATAAGAGATCTGTCATTCCTTCGTTAAGAAACAGTAATCCAGTGCAAGATTTATAGGCTTAAGACTCAACAGTGTGTGTTCACAATAAATCCCCATTCAGTGCTCAAACCAGAAACAAGCCTCCCTGTCGTTCAGTGTTTTCTGGTCAAAATGTCCCCAATATAAGATTATCAAAGGTTTTCTTACAGAACTACATATAAAATCCTTTTTGCCAGCAAAAGCTTAATTTAGGTTGGCGGTTTCCCTTTTTGAGTATTCTCAGACAAGATCTTGGTTATATCAGAAACACATAGGTACTGATGTATTATTAGCGGGCCTGGTGTTAATTAGGGAGAATTACCAGAAATAGTTTGCTTCGTGGGAATTTATTACAGAATCACACTTGACTGATGGCAGAATAGGAGTTGCTGAGAGAGAGCAGCTCCCACTCATAACCACTAATTAATAGGGTGCCAAAATTCCGCAGAGAAGGTTTCATCCCAAGTGTGGGAGCCGCACAGGGAAAATGATTCCTTTGCAGTATTTAAAATTTAAAAGAGGAAAGGGGCTAGGACGCATGGCTACCCAACAGAAATCTCAGACTGATACAGTTTTGTGTTGTACTTATGAATGAGAGCATTTAACTTGGGAAGCGCTGAGCCCAAAAGTTTGTGAAAGAATCCCTTTCCCTCCAAAGGTCAAAAGTAGCCTGCATATTTATTATACTGAGGAGATATGCAAAGGTATTTTTAATGTGGCAAGTGTCTGATTCCCTCAACTGTTCATTTTATGAGGAGAGTTTAGAACAAACCATTTGTCTTTGGCGTAATATTACTGAACTTTTACTCTTTATTCCATGATTTAGAAGCTGTCTGCGTAGGTGGTGAGATTACATCAGTGATTAATAAGAAAGGTGTGGCTTCCACACCTTGAACCCAGAGTTGAGGAAAAACAAGGTGTGTTTAGTGATTGGCACTAAAGGCAGAGCACTGGGGGAGGCCTATTAATGAAAGTTGGCCAAGAAGGCAATTCTTTTCTCTGTGCTTGTAACGGCGGGTAATCACATACAATAAAGCTTGGAACCATTGCTTAGTGTGGAAGAATAAAGCATTTCCATGTCACAAAAGTGATCAGTGATCACTGACCTCAGGGAGAAAAATAAAACAATTTATAATTCACAGAGAGTATAATTTTTCAATTTCTCTTCAGGCAATATAGTTCCCAAGGAAAATGACTTCTGTTTCAGGCCCGTGGGCTGACTGACATGGTCTCTAATGCATCCGTGTTTCAAAGGACAAAGTTTCTGTTTGATAACTGGGTTCCAAATTAGTTTTTCATCATGTTCTAATTGTCACATTTGCTCTCTGGTTCAAATATACTTAGGTTTGTTTTTTCTTCTTTGTCCCCCCTTTTTTCCTTTGCTTGTAAAGCACACACAGCTGGTGCTATTCTAAGCACTTACTCAAAAATACCATTGTTTGTTTAAAGTATTTTAGGAGACTATAATATCTTCAGAGCTGTCTTTTGATTTTTTTCCCCCTAGTGTATCACTGATATGCCAAACTTCCCTTGGTAAATAACTTGAACTCCAGTGACTTATCATACCAATATTAGTTTTTGTGTAAATAGAAATCTTTACTTAGGTGACCATATCTTGAGGTCCTCTGACCCCATAGGTTTTCTCTATTCCTGTTTGAGAATCCTGACAATCTCAAGCCTCCTCAGTTGAGTAAAATGGAGAGCAAATGAATTTTGAAATATAAATTAAAGTAATACAAGCTTTATCAACTGAAACTTATCATTTATTCTGCTCTGTGAGATTATTACACTACTGCTTAATAATTTCTCTGGTACCGTTATAAACGCTTTAGATAAAAATGAACTTAATAAACGAGTTGAGGCCCCAAAGTGAACCCAGGACTTCTGCCCCTAGAAAAGGTATAAATCAATGATGTGAATCTATGAGTTTGCTTATGCCTGACTATCCAGGAAGTTATAGATAATCTTTAACAATATCAACATAGTATAGATGGTGAGAGTATATATAAATTAGAGCTCGGGGGGAAAGTGTGTTTGATTATGCCTGGTGGACCAGACTGGGTCCAATTGGGAGGCCGAAATCACACTGAACTTAGCAAGAGAAGTTTAAAGAATTATTATGCTATGGTAGGAGAATAACTATGAAAATGTAAAGAGAACTCAAAGGCTAACCTAAGATTGAGAGAGAGGACCCAAGGAAGAACAGCCTTCCGATGAGTACCCCATGGCTGGAGGTCAGACTTTGTTGGAGGAAGTGTGGTTGCAGCCCACTGAATGACAGAGAAGTTCTCTGGTTGCTGAGGCCAGCCAGAGCTGTTCTCCCATTGCCAGGAACAAAGAAACAACCCTCCAGCATGCAGGTAAGCCCAGGTTAGGTCACCAGGTTTAGGTGGGTGGGTGTGCACAGGGAGTTGGAGTGTTGCTATGGCCTCAAATAGACAGTATCCGCATCGAGAGGGCTGTGGCAAGGTGGCCACTGCCCCCAGCCAGGGGTATGAAGTCATCGAGCGACTGTGCATTCTGGAAGCTCAGCTGGGGCAGAGCTCCACCAGATGCGCCCTCCCCCTCACAGGCACCATGGATGATCCAGGCAGCTGGAGCAAGGAAAAGCAAAATGCAGCACCCGAACCCAGGAAGAGGAGCTCCTGACTTCTGCCCTGTTCCTTTGTCTCCCTTGGAGACAGTTGACAGAGCTTAACACTGCTCACCGTAAAGGAGAAACGCTTAAAGAGTCCAGTTCACCATCACGGGACAGGCTCTGAAGGATGAATTTGGAAGTGAACACCAATACATTGTTAACAGGCACTTCTGGGTATAAAATAAAAACTTTATATTTTTTTTCTTAAGATTTTATTTATTTATTTGACAGAGACACAGCGAGAGAGGGAACACAAGCAGGAGGAGTGGGAGAGGGAGAAGCAGGCTTCCCTC